TTACCTGCTCATAGTCATTATGTTAATTTAAACACTCAAGACTCGGGCTGGCATAGTCATACTTATACTAATTCGTTTGAATATCCTGATGGAAATAATGGATTTCCTGATGGATGGTCTGATAGAGACGCTAGCAGGGGTAAATATTGGTATGGTAATAAAAATAGATGGAATGAAGGATATACTTCAAACGGTTCGGGTACACATTCACATAATGTTTCAGGATATACACAAACGACAGGAAGAGGTACAGATTACATGCCACCTTATATGACAGTTTATGCATGGTTTCGCGTTCAATGAACGCTCAATGTTTGTTTCACAAACTTTAGAACGGCATAATTTAAATTTTTATTTTAGTATAAATGAAGATTCTACCATATGGTGTTATTGGAAGAGATAAAGATGAAAACCCAATATTTGATCCAAAGTTAAAATTAAAGTTACTGACAACAACAACTTGAAAAGTTGCTGAAACCAAAACAGATGAAAAAAGAGAAAAATGAGAAAATGAGAAAGAAAAAAATTTAAATTATGCAATTTTATTTTTATCATAAATGACAAAATTAATTAAGCCAACTATTTCTAAATTAATGATACCAATGAAATCATTTCATGGAGTACTTATCCCAGGTTCTTCACAATTAGCCGGGGCAAGTGTTGTGGCTCAAGGTGGAACATTAGCGAATCCATTCAAATTAACTAAAGATGAACTTAATAAAATGATGATAAAATAACTGATAACAAAATTTTATTTTTATATAAATGGATACCCCACAAGCTCAAAATTTACCACGAATCATAACAAGGGAGGAAATGATAAAAATGATGCAAGAACGAATTAAAAACAACAAACCACGAAAACCGAGAAGATGCGGTTATGCAGTAATGATGGAAAGAAGAACCCAGAAGGGTTCGGCGTCTCGAAGAGACGTTGTCGAAGAGGAATAAAAATTAAATTTGGATTGAGTTTAAAAATTCATCTTTATTAAATTCATCTCTTCCAATCAATTTATTTATTCTATTAAATTCTTTTATTTTTGCTTCACTCAGTTTAAGGATTGAACGGTAAGTTTCTAATTTTTCGATTATTTCTTTCCTCTCTTTATCGTTTCAATTACTTTAGTTTTATGGGCATCAGCCCCACCGCATTGCGGCTTCTTTTTGTAATAGCATATTTTTGATTTAATTCTGTTTAGTTTCTTTTTATATTCATTGTCTGGACTCTGAATCTTAATTGAATCAGGACTCTTGGCTGCTTTGTTGTCACTCATTTCTTACGAAATAAAAAAATTAAATATTATTTAAATATAATGGAGTAATAAAATAAATCGGAATTTCTATTAATTTATTGTCAACTTCAACTAATGCATTGCCGTTAATATATCTAACAAATTCAGCTATTGTGTCAAATCTTCGTCTTCTTTTTGTCATTGATTTATCAGTTTTTCCATAATCGAGATGAATCAAAACTTTATCCCCTTGTTTAAAATTCATGAGCCCCGAATTAATTTGTTCACGTTTAACATCATTTAACCTTTCCATTTGCTTTCTAATATATTCCCATTCTTTTGAAATATCATTTTTCATTTCCACTGGTTTCATGTTTATAGTTCTATGCCATGTATTATTGTAATAATATACTAACTGCTGTATGATGGAGTCATGATTTCCATCCCAGTATATCTGACCGTTAACCCCTAACGCATCTCTAAGAGTTCTCATTACCGCATCAACTATTTTATTATGAAACGTATATGGAGAAGATGAGAAGTAAAAATTAATTTGTGGGAAATAATGAGCCATAGCTGCCTGAAATCCTTTATCACCATCACCCCTTATATTATCTACTCTTTCATGATCTAGTAAGTATTGAATAGCTCTTCTTGTTTCCTGTTCTGTTTTCCCTTTCACCGGAATGCAATATAAATATCTAGTGTTAATGTTAATGGCAAATAAATAAGTAACGTTTCCTTTTGAATATTCCAGATGATCGATTTCGTATGAATATGGATATGGTGCAAATGAAGGGCGACTAAATTTTTCCTTTAACGGTTGAATTTTCGGGTCAATTGGTTTATTTAATATCTTGAAATCCTTTTTAAAATCTTTTTGCTTCTTTAATGTTTGAAATGGATATAATAAAGTGAATGATGAAGGATTAACTGAAGGAGGAGGCGGTACTGTCGTTGGAGGTTTTGGTGTTGCAAGTGGTTTAATTTTATCTGCTTTGATTTTGGATGATGAAGTTTTAGTTGTTGATTTTCCTTTCATTAATTCTGGATGTATTCTATTCATTTGTTTTAAATATGCTGTATATACTTTCCCGCTTCGAGTTTATGTTGAAGGATGAATTCCAAAAGTTGATCTTCATTTAAAAGTCGGGCTGAATATGGTTTAACTAATGAATCATAAATTAAAGCTTGTGCTTCATTTATGGTCTGAAGGACCTGGGCGTTTTGCACCTTTAGCTGTTGAACATTTGCTACTTTCTCTTTTGGTGTTGTTTTCGGCTTTTTCTTCTTTTGTTTTTGTTCCTTTGGCTTTTGCGGCTCAGGATTATATAATTTATATAATTCATCAATATCTTCTTCTGTTAATACTTTATTTTTGAAATCTTTCAACTGTTTAAGTTGTGATTTAGTTTTTCCCTTTGTATATTCATTATTTTTAATTTTGTCTTTAATTTCAGAAATTATTTTATCATGATATTTCAAAATTTCATTTTTATAATATGAATAATAATCCATATCATCACCCGTTATATTTTTATTATGTTTTTGGAGATATGATTTTAATTCATAATAATTAAGAAAATTTTGATTAAGTACTAAATCATCAATTAAATTTTCTAAATCTGCGTTATCCATTTATATAAAAATAAAATAAATGTTTTAAGGGTGCCCACCTCTTTGAATCATAGTATCAAAACCATTATTTACATATTGAATCGCATCATTAACGGTTCCTCCTTCTAAAACGGTATCAAATGGTGGAGTCCAGATTTCCTGATGATGATCATAAAATCCAGCAAAATTAACCGTATTATTAGGTAAAATATGAATCTCAGCGGTATATCTTCTATCTAAATTTGGATGCCTTATATGTATACCATTACTGCCCGGATAAAATCTCAAACCTTGATTTTGTTGACGCATCAAATTATTGAAATTTCTTTCTTCAGGGGTGAATGTTCTTCTCCGTTGACGTTGTGGTGGTGGTGGTGGTCGTTGTTGCTGCTGTTGATGCTGTGGTGGGATTTGAAAAATTCGTTGTGGTTGATTATTTGGAATCTGAAAGTTAAAACCATTTGGTATAAATCTATTCGGTTCCTTTTGTCTCTTCTGTGGCATTTTATTAAAAATAAAATTTTAAATTCATGACTCAATACGTTTTTAAATTGTATTAAATAAATGGCATACAACATCCATTTTCACAACATACAGCCTTAGTGTGTGCTCCTGTTAATGCAGTCTTACCGATTGTTAAGCGAGTCATTGACCCGTTTTTAAGTTGTAAATTAATATTCTGACCATCAAAATCACTTTATCATTTATTATATCCAAATAATTTTTAGGTGTTAATTGTTTATTTTGTCGTAAACTAACACCTTTCATTTTTTGTGCAATCTTTTTAAAATCACTTCCATCAATTGAACCGTTGAATGATGTATAACACTTGGGGCATAAAGCAACCATGTTATCACCTTGTTTCTCAATTGCTAAACCCAATAACTTCTTCTCATGTGCTTTTTCTTCAGCTTTATTCTTTAATTTAGGTTTAAATTTCTCATCAAAACAGAAGAAATCAAATGGTGCGAATTTGAAAATGTTTTTATCATAAAATTGTTTATCGGTAACAATTGCTTGAAATGCTTGAGTGTTAGGAAGACTTGGATCGCCAGCAATAGCCCAATAAGATGAATCAGTATCACCTTCAATGAAATGAAAACGATTAACATTCATGCATTTATACATAAAATCATAAATGAAAACCAAATACCAGTATTTAGCATTATCTAAAGTGAAGAATGCCTCTTGTAAACATGTATCACATCTATAAAATCTATCTTTAAGCATCACTTGATACGTATCCTCTCCTATTTCTCTTATGTTTTTAAACTTATTTGACATACATGCAACGCGTGCCTTCTGTGCATTCATTATTTTAGTCTTTGCGTAATTTTGTGTATTCATTGCATCGTAACCATATGATCCATTAAGCGAAATCTTGCAAAATAAACTTTTTCCTTTATTTCCTTCTAATTCAGCCTTTTGTCTTTCGTTCATAAATTCGTTCGCAAATTCATTAAAGCAAGTGTTTTTAGTAAATGTTAAAATTGATTGAATGTCATCAATGATAAAATTAAACCTGTCGATTAGATACCATAGATAATAAGAAGAAAATGGTTGATATTGGTTGTGTGTTGATGCTAACTGAGTTAATTTCTTCTGTTTCTGGTCAACTGGTAGATTGTTTGATTTCATGTAATTATACATAAAACTGCCAATTGTTTTTTCATCTGTGATAATATCTAAGTTTCTTATTATCGGTAAAAAGTTTATGTAATCATTAATGTATTTTTCATCAATGTGACCCTTTACTTCAGCCACGAATAAAGTATTTTTCTTCTTAATTATTCCCAGTGCTTTTGCTTTCTTTGTTGCTGTATCACAAATGATAACACCATTCAATCTTCCCGGCATATACATTTTATGGTCAGTATATTGAATGAAATCATGAGGATTAGATGAAAATGATGAAGGATATAATGAATTAAAATCAACACCAACGAAATGAGTCATGATGTTGGAAGTGTCCTCATTTGATACAGTTTTAGTTTCTGGACTATATGAAAGTTTATTAATGTGCGTGATTCCTTTAAGATTAACACGATGTTGAACATTTGATAGACCACCAGTAATTCCATTACGGAGAATGTGATAAGCTTCAACTGAATCTAAAGTCATTGGTAAATTATTTTTTAATGCATAATTTCTTCAATTGATTCTTAAACGTTGAACATCTTCATCTTTATTTGATTTTACGACATTGCAATAACAACATATTAACTGACAATTTTCTTTGGTATGTGGTTTTTCATTATCGATTCTATCCAATGTTGGTTTATTTGCATATGTAAACGCTTTACCACACATTTTGCATTTAGATGAAAGGATTAAATCGTGATAGTATTGAAAATCATCCATTGAAACATTATTTTTAGTATCTCTTTCTGCTTTTTCATCTTGTTTCTTATATGATTCAATTTTATATTTCCAATACTTTTTCGTTAATTCAAAACTTGATTCTATCTCTTCCTCAGGATATTTTTCATTAGGATTAAAGTCTTTGTATGCTAAAGCGTAACGAATCATTGAAGCATTCGATGATAAAGAAAGATTATGAAGCATATCAATTTTATAAACAAATGTTTCTTCAATAATTTTATCGATTGGGTCAATCATAATTTCAACATCTTTATTGCAATAATGAATAAAATATTCTAATCTATTTTTAAAATTTTTAGCATCATTGAGATATATTTGATAATCACTATCTGATATAGTTTCTTGAGTTAATGCTGAATAAAATGAATCTTGAGTGAATGGTTCCACTTTATATAACTCTTCTTCGTAATTTTCCCACGTGATGAATTGATAAGGGAAAAAGGATTTAACACGTGATTTATTGTTTCCGAAATCTTGAGTGAATTGGTCTAATGTCCCACCCGCTATATAATTTCTGATGTCAATAAATCTCAATTCATATGGAACGTTTGTTTTCTTTACAATGATTTGCTTAAATTGTGAAGATGAACCCAGCATTGATTTTATTTTCCATTTTGCAGTGTTTAAATCACGAAGAATTAAATTTAAATCAAACTTTCCCGAATTAAAACCTATGATATTCACTTTATTGAATTCCTCATCTAGAAGTTCTTTAAATGCTTCCTTCTGTTTTTCATTTAATGTATGGGACAAAGTCCCCGCCGTTTGCGGCTTCATTAATTCATTGTATTGACTCATATTTGATTTAGCAACTAATGAACAGATTGAAAATAAAAACTCAATCCAGTCAGAAATAAAAGAATCACTTGAAGTTAAGCAAAAATTCCTCGTATATGTTTTATCGTTTAATTTAACCGTTGATGATACCATGAATGGTTTTAAGTAAGCGTTCAAAGTTGCACACTCAGAAAGTTGTAATTCTTCTTTAGTCTCTAATGTTTCAAAGTCAAAAGTAATATAATATCTTGTCGGTTTATAATATTTCTGCAAATTATGAGCTAATAACCACTGATATATCTTCTGTTTCGTAATATGTGGTGCATATGGTTGCTGGGTCTTTTGCAATTGAACGTCTTGAATTAATCTTCCATTATTTTCTTTACATTTCTCACAATGCTTTAAAAATCTTCTTTGGTTTTTCCTTTCTGGATCATCACGGATAGAATAAACTTCTTCTTTACAATATGGACAAACTTTATAGCCGGTTAGTGCTTCAACGTCTGTTATTCTGTCAGCGTGAAGTTTTCCACATGGACTCTGTGTTAATAAAATATTTACTGTTTCAAATTCTGGATCTATCATTATTGATTCCACTAATGGAAAGTCTACCTTATTTATGTCCACGTCTTCTGGTTGAGGATCACAATAATAGAAATCAATATTAACATTTAACATTCTCACTAATCTCTCACTTTCTGATGAAATGTCAAACCCTTCATATGCATCTATTGCTTCATTTAAATAGCTTCTACGAGTTTTAGGATTAACACCATCAGGAATGTTATAGAAGCGTTTAAATAACCTTCTACCTTCTGCTCTAATTTGATTATCATTCATTTTAGCTGTTCCGTTTTTGTTCATTTATGTAAGAATAAAAAATTAAAAAATAAATAAAAATAAAGTTTATTTTTTAAAGCCCATAAAATGAATTAAGAACACATAAATTTTTATCATCTGCGACGTGACGAATACATTTTAATTTACTCAAGAATGCGTACCCTGATACATTAAATCTAATTCCTGTCTTATTTAATTTCACAACTTTGAAAAGGAATGTATGAATAGCTATAAAATGATGAGAAGATGTTTTATGGGTTGCTTCCATTTTTTCTGAAATAAATGAATAAATATAATGTTTATAAGTTTTCATATCTTTTATGTTCTTAATAACGAATGGTATAGACCTTTCAACTTCGTCTTCCTTCGGTGCTGTTCTTTCATATGAAACATTATTGGTATCTTCAACAATGAAACCACAATCACATAAAATTTTATATGTTCAATGGTTTCTTTTGATATTTTATCTAATAAATCAAAAACTTTATCAACACCTGTGCATTTATTTAAATAATAATTTGTGTAAATATCATGATCTTCTTTCTTAATCGTATTAGTTGCATATGTCACGTTTTTAAGAGCTTTTTTGAATTTCTCAGAATCGAGAGGGGGTGAAAGTAAGATACAAGGGTATTCTTCATTATCAATAAATTGTAACTTATGTTTACGAATAAATTTAGTACCTTCTTCTGAAGATGTTTCGTCTATTTCACCATCTAATAAATTTTGTGTTGATTCTGAGACATAATTTTTATATCTTTCTTCATGAGATTTCTGTACTTCTGATTCTGAAGCTGGGATATTCATTAAACCCTCTACTTCATTTTCATTATATTTTTCAACTTCTCTTAATTCCTTAATTTTTTCATCTATTTCATCTCTTATTTTTTTCAGTCTTTCAATTTCATTGTATTCATCATCTTTAATCCGTTCTTCATAATATTCAGGGAAAACATCAGGTTCTTTAGGTTTTTCTTCTTCAGATGTGGGATATAAGAAATTTATAACATCATCTTTATTCATTTTTCCATCATAATCTAAATCATTTAATAACTCGGTAAATTTTTGACAATTTCTTAAATAATATTTATTAACTTCATAACCTACCTCCTCTAATATATCCTTTATTTCCTCGTTTGTGAATCCTAATTTTTTCACGTCGTTAGTCTTGACACTCATTTCATACAAAATAAAAAAAATAAAATAATAAACATAACTAAGTTTTAATTTTTCGTAATAAGTTTATTTTATTTTTATATATAAATCATTCTTAAGGTCAAACAGACTTCTTATTTTTATATGAAATTCATCCTCTTTAATGTCATCAATGATTTCCATTTCATTATTTTCAATTTCTTCTTCTCGTTTATGAGGTCTTTGATTATGACTCCATTGATTCCATGAAATTAAATATTCTTTATCATTATATTTATACCTCATTAGCTTATTTTGGCTTTCATATTCATTTAATAATTCACAATCTTCATTTTTAAATTGAAGTTTAACCCATTCAGGATTTAAACAATGTTTAATTAATCGCGGAATATCTGACATCATCTATATATAGCTTCTTTTATAAAAGATAAAAAAATAAATTATTTTAAAATTAATGTTAATTTTTTAAAATGTGTTTAGTATATAATATTTATTACTAATTTATTTAATAATGTCGCGCTTTCTTACGAATTCATGACTTAAAAAACGTAAGAAAAAATTTTTATATCATATATATATAGAAGATGTGAAAATATACCTTCATCTATATATAGACGTAACAAAAAAAGTCACTAAACCCATCAACATATACTACTAAAGAAGTAAAGAATCATAAAGAATCTACTCCACTCATTTTAGCATCAGAAAAAGGTCATCTTGAAGTTGTTGAATATCTTATCTCTGTTGGAGCTAATAAAGAAGCAAAGGATATAGATGGAGAAACTCCACTCATTCTTGCATCAAGAAAAGGTCGACTTGAAGTTGTTAAATATCTTATCTCTGTTGGAGCTAATAAAGAAGCAAAGGATATAGATGGAGAAACTCCACTCATTCTTGCATCAAGAAAAGGTCGACTTGAAGTTGTTAAATATCTTATCTCTGTTGGAGCTGATAAAGAAGCAAAGGATATAGATGGAGAAACTCCACTCATTCTTGCATCAAGAAAAGGTCATCTTGAAGTTTTTAAATATCTTATCTCTGTTGGAGCTGATAAAGAAGCAAAGAATAATAATGGAAAGACTGCTCTCGATGTCGCAAGTGTTACTGTGGAATACTTTTTGAAGACAAAAATGAATAACGAATAAATCTAGGGAATAATAAAAAATTTAAAATAATATCCTTGTTTTATTATATTTACTAATATAGAAATGCTATATTATGGGTTGAAGAATAATTTTATATCAAGAGCAGCAATAAATCGGAAATGAATATGGAAATTCAAGAAAACTCAGATTATGTCACTTTTCTCATAAAATAAACCGGACAATATAAAAAGACAGTATAGTGCATGAGATATATATTTGATTCAATTGAATTTAGGCCATTTTTGAAATCAATTGAATTGAAATCCGATAAAAAGTTTTTTTATATAATTCAAAAATGTTGAATTACTATGGGAACGAAAGTCAAAGCACTCTCGCAACTGAAGAAAGTTCAAGTTTATGCGAGAAAAGCCTTCTAGATACAGCAGAAAGGAAAGAACTTGAAGCAATACAAAACAAAGTAACAAAATACAAGAAAAGGAAACTATACTTTACTTATCTCAGAAAGCTGTACTCGCCTTTGCTATTTGTAGGCTTAGTTGCAGGTGTTCTCTGCGGAATTATCATTGGTTTGTATCAATACCTTGCAGAAGAGTTAACAGATGCAAATATTTACATATACAACTTGATAAGAAAAGATAAAAGGTATATTGCTGCAGCTTTAGGCGTTAATATCATAATTGGTTTAATTATTGGTTTTGCAATTGATTACTTAAAAGAAATCAGAGGTAGTGGCATTCCTTACATAGAAAGTGTCGCTCGAGGCAACTTACAAGTTACTTGGTACTCTTCCCTTCCTGGAATGTTCATTATCAGTTTACTTGGTATCTTTTCTGGTTTACTTATTGGCTCTGAAGGTCCATCTGTCTTCTTAGGCGGATGTATTGGCTACGCGATTGCCAAAATCCTCAAAAGGAACAGAATTCCAGATATGTTGCTTGTTGCTGCTGGTTCATCAGCAGGATTAGCTGTAGCATTCGATGCACCTCTTTCTGGTATGATTTTCGCTCTCGAAGAAGTTTATCGAAAATTTTCTACGCAAATTATTCTTGTTTCAGTTATTACAGTGTCTGTATCACAAATTATTTCACATCTTATCTTTGGCGACAAGAGATTAATCATCAATCCCGTACAAATTGAACAATTTGACATTTTACACTTCGGCATCTCATTATTCTGTGGAGTATCAGGTGGAATCCTCGGTTCATTGTTCAATATTCTTATTTGCCATGCAAGAAACTGGTTCAAATACATTAAATGTCTTCCACTTAAATTATACGTTGTTATTCCAGAAGTTGTTACTGTTTTTGTCATCTACTTCCTTCCTGATGGTGCTTACGGTGGTTCTGCATGTCTTAAGAAGACTCTTGATGACAAATTTAAGACATGGGAAGTTGGAGCTCTTCTTGGTGTCAGAATCATCTCCATTTTACTTTGTTTTGCATCAAAGACTTCCGGTGGAATTTTCATCCCAATGCTTTCGGTTGGAGCTTTGTGGGGCTCATTAACTGCCAAATTACTCATAAAAATTGGCATTGAATCAAAGAACTTTTCATATATGTCCTTAATAACTATGTCTTCTTTCTTCACAGCTGTTGTAAGGGCTCCTTTAACAGCTGTCATTCTCCCGGTAGAATTTACTGAACAATTTACTGGCTGGCTCGGGCCAATAACCGCTGTCGCAGGTGCCTATATCGTCGCTGAGTTCTTCCGCGTGGAGCCTCTTTACGAAAAATTGATGGAAGTTTTGGTTGAAAAAAGAGATGAAGAAGAAGTCAACAAATTCGACGAATTTTCATTCATTGTAACTGTGGAATCAACAATTGCTGGTCAATGCGTAAGAGATCTCATTCTTCCTGAAGGAACAACGATTACTCATATTATTAGAGATAAAACTCTCTTCTTCCCCTCGGATACAACTGAAATACTTGAAGGAGATGAGGTTTTCTTCATGTGTGAGGCAGACAAAATGGCAGATGTTGAAGATATGATTGGAAAAGTTTTCTAATTCATTTTTTAATATGTTATTTTGTTCTTAAACTGTTATGTTTTTTCTATCGACTATTAAATTGTGCAATATTTATAAACAAACAAATATCAAAGTTAGATTTCAAGTAATTAGCTGAATATTTTTCAATCTATGCATACAAAACAATTTATAAGATGGAGTATGATTTAATTTTGTTATTTGTTTCATATTATTCTCAGAAATTTTTGCTGACCAAATTTCTGCACTTCGAATTTCGATCCATGATAGTGGGATTTAAACACACTGGAAGTTACTAGCTTATTTTGGTTAAAAGATTTATAAAATTGGGATGTACAGGAATGTAAACTTTTTATTTTTTTATGCGATTTTTCAAAAAATAATAGGTATTCATTTATTGAATAAAATTTTAAAAATAGCAATTTTAACGATACATGTAAAGTTCTCATTTTAAATTTTTTGTAAGGATCAAAAATGACGAAAATCAACTCCCTTGAGTCACTCCCCGCTGACTGCCAAAAGTTATTATGGATCTGCGAATCAGTATGGGATATAAACGAATCGAATTTGTTCGAAATCAGGCAAAAGATCGTTTACGCGCTCGAAAATAATATTTTAACGGAGCGTAACGTTGTTAAAATCTTGAATTCCGTTTTCTCCATAAGAGTTAGAAAGATGAAGCTCATCGCTGACCTGTTAGAGCAGTTACTTACCCAAGACAAAGTCTTATTAAAAGAGAAATATTTCTTATATGCCAAAGAATTGAAGACAATTTTAATCAGAAGAAAAGCCCTTGAAGGTGATGTTCCTCCAGAGTACGAAGAAAAGCAAGAAGAAGACATCCTTCAGATTTATGAAAAAGGAACTGTCGAATATTGCATTGTTTGGGACGATTACGAGACATTAGACAAACTTTACACAGCTGAAGGCTTCATGTTCGATGACAAGAGGCATCACAAATCAATTCTTTCATGTGCTGCCTTACGCGGATCAGTAAATTGCTTCAAGTACTTGGTTTTAAAGGGCGAAAAGATCACACAAGAAGATTACGAATACGCTTTCGCTGGAAATAACAAAGAAATCCTCGAAATGTGCGAAAAAGATTTCCAAGTCACCCCACAGTGCATTGATAATGCTGTTAAGTGGCATCATAACAAAATGGTCCAAGAGATAATGCAGAATCATGAGCTTGAATACTCCTGGAATACTTCATTACAAAATTATAATCTTCCATGTTACTTTACAAAGCTTTTCAAGATAAATTACGTCAACTTCAAGGATATTCATCAAGATAACGCTCTCATTGTCGCTGCAAGATTCGGATTAGTTCCAATTGTCAAATTATTACTTGATGAAGAGAACGCAGGCATCGAAGAGGTCAACAAATACGATCAAACAGCTCTTATTGCTGCTTGTGAGAACAATTTTGTCGGCGCAATGAAAGTTTTAATCGCTCATCAAGCAAATATCAACGTTCGCGATGTTTTTCAGCGTACACCACTCATTTCCGCTACAAACTACAATGCAGTTGATGCTGTTAGACTCCTTCTTGCCAACGGAGCTAAAGTAGATGACGTAGATGAACAAGGAAACTCAGCACTTCACATAACCGCCAGAGAAAATTTTGTCGAAATTTTAGACATTCTTCTTGAGTACAAAGCCAAGATTGATATAAAGAACAATGATGGATTGACACCGCTTTGGTTGGCAAGTAGCGCAGGCCATCCTGAAATTGTTAAAACTTTGATATCTCATGGAGCAGATATTGAAGTTAAAAACCAAGATGGATGGACACCATTGATGATTGCTGCCCAGTTCAATCGTCATGAAGTTGCCAAATGCTTAATGGACGCAAAGGCTGACGTAAATGTGAAAACTGCTGACGGATTGACAGCAATGGATATTGCAAAGAACCATGGATCACGTGATGCATACAGAGTGCTTCGTGGTAATGCTTAAATATAAATAACAACTCTCTATTTTTATTAAATAATCATTATTTTAAATTTTACCATTATTTTTATGAATTTGATTTAATAAAATAGTTTTTCCAAAGGTTATTTGTGGGAAAACAACCTTTCATTATGTAAAAAAGGAAGAAGAATAGTAATGATTGAATTTTTTCTTTCAATTGTTGCAGATTTCAATGCAAAAGATTCTATCCAGCAAACTTTTTGTACAACTTGTTTCATATCGTGCAGACTTTAACGCAAAATGTAACGATGGAGAAAAATTGAAATTAAAATTTCAGCTGATAGAGTCTTCATTGAAAAAGTTATTGATAACCCTTGTTCTGTGTGTTCTTAGCGAGTTTTTTTGAGATAATAACTTGATGTGTATTCGGATTACGAAATTGAATTTTCTACCGGAAAATTTTGAGTGATAACCCCTAAAATCTTATGATGCAAACGAAATTTCCACAGTATGTTGATCAAATAATAGATATTCCTGATGACCCATCAATTGTTCTTGCTAGCCGTGACCAAATATCTATATTTCGCATCATAGGAATCTCTGCTTCAATGTTATCTTATCAAATTGCGTATTCAATCGAATTTGCGATCACAACACCGCTTATGAAATCATTAAACTTTAGTCCTCTTTCGATTGGTTTACTTTGGTTAGCTGGTCCCTTATCAGGTTTCTTCATTCAACCATTATTTGGCGGATATAGCGATACTACAAGACTTAAATTAGGTAGAAGAAGGCCATTTATACTCACCGGTTTGATATTAACTACTATTTGCATGATTATCATTTATTTTTTGAAAAATTTGATTTCGAATTTGAAATTTCCCTATCAATGTATTATAATGTTTATTGTTTTGATGTCCACTAACATATCTATCAACGTGATACAAGTTCCTGCCCGTGCAATCGTAGGAGATTTAGTTCCATTTCATCAACAAGCTCTTGCTAACGTTGTTGGAAGCACATTACTTGCATTAGCAGCTGTATTGGCAAATCTGCTTGGCGGAATATCATATTTCGTGAAAATACCTTGGATTACGTTAAATGAAAAACAATTTATAATAATTACGGGAACAGTCCTCATAGTTATCTTTGGAACAATCACTTTACTTGTCGGAACAGAAGAACTGTTGCATGCTAAGTTCGGTCAACGATAGGAATTGAGGGGAAATTAATCGTCGAGGAAGTACGATTATGTAAAGTAAAAAATGTTGTGGGATTTTTAATATTGTATATAATTTTATAATAAAATTTTTGTGAGACATTTTAAGAAGCACATATAATTTTTTGAATTTAAAAATTAAAGTAGTGTTGAATGAATTTATTGATTAATTTAATACGGATATTTCTCAAAATTAATCAAAAATAGGTTTTCAGAGAACTTTTGAGATATCTTTTCAAAATGTCTTTTTGAAAATATATAAGTATTATATCAAATTGAAAAAAGGTATTTATCAAAATTCTAAATTCTTAATAAAAAATAACTTTTCAGAGGATTGTGATTTTGAAAGCATGAGTAATAAGTAAAAAATATCTACGATTTTAATGAGGGAATTGTTCCTTATGAGGTATACATTATAACTATATACCTCATAAGGAACAATTCCCTCTTGATAGCTGGGAAACTTTCTCTGAATAACTTATCATTTGGAGAAAGTTTCCCAGCTATCTATTAGAAACTAAAGGCTGTGAGGCACTAATATATAATCAGTGCCTCATAGCCTTTAGTTTGTTATTAAAAACGAGAAAACTTGTTCGAAATGATAAACAATTTCGAACAAGTTTTCTCGTTTTAAGGAGGGAATTGTTCCTTATGAGGTATACAGTATGAATATATACCTCATAAGGAACAATTCCCTCTTGATAGCTGGGAAACTTTCTGAATAACTTATCATTTGGACAGGAAAAGTGACACTTTACATGGCAAAAAATAGAGCCTTACTTTTGAGATACTTGAGATTGAAACTGAATCTTATGAGGCGGTGATCTTGAATCACTACCTCATAAGGTTCAGTTTCATATAAAATTTGTTGCAATTTGTTATTCTTTTGCAATTATTTCTTATAAGATTTTACATCTTTTAGCGGGGAATGTTTGTTATTATGTATATATTATAAATATCTACACGATAACGAACATTCCTCGCTAAATTGCTGAGAAACTTTGAGGAAATGTCGAACAATTTCCTCAAAGTTTCTCAGATTTATATAGATCACTAGAGTCCCCTAGGCACTGATTCTGGTTCAGTACCTAGGAGGCTCTAGTTCTCTAACGAACTGATAAAATGTTTTTAAATTTTTGGATATTGCTACCTGTGAAGCACTGACTTCAAGTCAGTACCTCACAGGTAGCAATTACATTGAAAGATGGGAGAAACTTTGTCCGAATGTTAAACTATTCGGACAAAGTTTCTCCCATTTGTAGTGGAGATGGAAGGCTTTGAGGTATATTATATTAATATATACCCCAAAGTCTTCCATCTCCACTTGAAAGTTCCAAAACTTTGGGTTAATAGTTTGCAATTAACCCAAAGTTTTGGAACTTTCTAGAAGGAATTGCAGGGTAAGAGATATACATTCATATGATATATCTCTTACCCTCCAATTCCTTCTTAAAATGGGAGAAACTTTGTCCGAATGTTAAACTATTCGGACAAAGTTTCTCCCATTTTTTGAAGGAATTGGAGGCTATGAGATACTGATGCAATGTCAGTAACTCATGGCTTCCAATTCCTTCCTAAAACTCATAAAAGTGGACATTACATGCATATAAAATTTGACATGTAAAGTCCACTTTTTGTGAGCGGGGATTTGACTCAGTCAAATCCCTTTTTCGTTTACGAGAAAGCCAAATTCTCTCAAAAAGTTAAGTAGGACCAATTTTTTATAAAAAAATCCAATTTCATTATGAATGTTAATTAATTTATATAATTATTGAATAAAAAATTTTCTTTGAGATTATGAAAAGTTCTTTGAAAAGTTATTTTTTCTCATTTTTAAATATTGTATTAGCCTATTTATTTATAATCCAAATTAAATAACTTTAAATTCAATATTTAAAGAATAATTTTGAAGGAATTGAGTTACTTCCCCCGACGATAAAATTGAGAGGTTTACATTTTGACCGAACTTAGCATGCAACAGAACAGCTACTAGAAATACCCGCAAGAGAGAATCCTTTCGTTGAAATTTACAGAGCATTCCGAACAATGCCAAAACCGATATACACGATTGGAATAATATATGCTTTGTCATGGGTAGCATATTTTCCATTCCAAACCATCACAACTGACTTCTTTGGCTCATCAATTTTTAATGGATCCCAAAACTCATCAAATCCAGATGATGTCAACTTATATAACAAAGGAGTGAGCTTTGGAATGCTTGTTATAAGTATATCTAACTTCCTTGTCCTTATTTATGGCTTCATTCACGAAAAACTTCGAAAAGTTGTCGGTTTGAGATGGTCGTACTTCATTTCACAAATCATAACTGCTATTTCTTTATCAATGTGCTTCTTTGTGAAGAACAAATGGGTTCTTATGGGAACTTTGTCTTTTCTTGGTGTTTCTTCACTAATTTTCAATGCAATACCATTCGAAATTGTTGCCAGAACTGTTGCATTGGAACAGATGGGTACATATATGGGAGTTCTTAATAGTTTTGCCGTATTTGGCCAAATTTTTGCAAATTTTGCAATGGTATCAGGAGTTGGCTCAATAAGGAAGGAGCCAGGAGATGCAATTGGTGCTGGATGTATCTTTGCAATAATTGCTGCTGTTTACTCTTTATTCTTGAATGAACCTACAGATCCAACAGAAATTTTGAAGAGTTCCATAACACCATACATATGTGATCCTATAAGATGATTTTGCTTTAATAGAGTTTATTTGTTGTTTATATTTTATGAATAATAAAGATTTTTTTCTTTTTCTATCAATGAACAGAGAAAATTCATTTGGTATTATTATTTACATCTTCAATATATTACAATGTAATATCATGATCAAAATTTTATTGAACAAATCAAAATATTTTTTTTCAAATTATCCGATTGTTACAATGATTTTAGGTGATTCGATGTGTTTGTCAAGATCAGTCTCTAAATTAATGTAGTCAAAATTCCAAATTTTTTTCATATTTTAATTTCTAACATGAAAAATTGGAGAATTTAATTTCATTTTTTGAAATTTCAGAAAAATTTGGCAAAATTGAAGAATCTTAAATCATCTAAAATATATATTTATGCATTTTCTTCTTAATTTTCTTCTTAAATTTCTAATTTGACCTAAATTGCAAATCTTCTTAAAATAATCCAAGCAATGCATCAATTAACGATAAATTTTGGCTAGAGCCGATTTTTAATAATGAAAATAATGTCAAATTTACCATTCGTCAGTTAATTTAGATGAAAGATGATCCATGATAACTTACTATCTAAAAAATTACTTTTGCATATGGCAATGACATAGAAAGCGCTATTATACAGATACATACAGAATTAATTTTTATCATACAATTCTTCATTAATCATAATTTTAAAGGCAATTTTTCAAAAACATACAAAAAAATCAAATTCACTCATAACATAAATACCAAAACATTAATCACAATACATGTGAAATATGATCACACGTTTTATAATACATCTTTGCACTTTTTACCTCAATTTACAATTCTTTAATAAATTCTCATGGATTTCAGTAAAGCAAGAGATTTAGCACAACAGTAATCTAGCTTACGTTGGATCAAATTGAAGTTTATAACGAACAATCTACAGATATATTCACTTTTTTTTTCTAAAATAACATTACAATAATACTTGAATTTATCTGTAACATGGAATTGCTTTTTTTTGATTCAAAGTATGTCGATTTTTAAAGAAATCAGATATAAGTAAGTAATATAAAATTCTAAGTATGTTGATATCGTAGAATACAGGTTTGTACCTAAGAGATCGGTTAGATGTAGTAAGACTTGAGGTTTGAGAATTATAAAAGATTTATCTGCAAAATGAGAGATGGTATTGAGTCTGGAACCAACTTGTGCTATAAAGAATTCTTGGAATGACATTATGATTTGGTGATAATGCCAAATCAGATACTTTTTCCTATAAAAAACTGAGATTTTTTTTGAAAAAATGTACGTTTATTTTACGAAAATTTCGTTACTAAAATCTATGATTGAATCTCATGTGGAGCAAGAAGAATTATTAGAATTATCAATTGGCAAAGCACCAGTAATATTTCAGATGCCAACAATCAGAGATTTAGCTCCACCTGAAGAAGATTTTAATGCCAAGAAAAATCCTCGCTTTAGAGGATATAGCGCAAGAAGAAATGTTACAGAACCAGAAAATATAGATTTTCCTAGGCCAAAACACAATAGAAGGAAAAAAGAAGAACAAATAAAACAATCTCAGCTTTTAACACAAATATCAGAAGATAAAGATCTTTCAAACAGATTAAATGAACGCATAAAAACATATGATCATATGAAACATCTAAAATACGAACAATTACAGCAAGAACACGAAGAATTTTATGTCAAGCCATGGCAAATGCGAGTCAACAAAGCAATGAATAACGAAAACTATCAAAAATACTTAAAAATTAAAGAAGAAATGCTTGAAAATTGCGATAAAAATCCAGTTCCAATTAGATCATCACTTCCTCCAAATAAAGTGCCCACAATAAGAGTTTCGAGAAAAGGGCTATCAGATCCGCATACAAGATACAAAGAAAGGCAAAAGCAAGAAGAAAGATTATTCAAAATCATTAACGACGCACACGGAATTGAAACACCATTACCTCAAAAGCCATTTGAAGGTAAATTCGATTCTGGATATTATATGAGAGCAAAACAAACTCGATTTTACACAGGACGTCAAACAGATGCAATGCAACACGGAAAAAGGATTTTCGCACAAAAGTATCGTGATTCTATCAATGACAACATTACTACTATTAAGTATTAATGATCGAAATCTCACAAAAAATTTCAATCCGAAATTTCATTTCATTTTTTTATTTAATTTTGTTTGTAAACATGTAAAATATAGTATTTTATAACATATTATTTCTTTATTTCACTTTTATTCGTCGATTGTAATTGCATGGTTCAGGCATCTTGAGTAGCAAAGGCCGCACTTGAAGCACTTTTCTGGTGTGACTTTAGCAACAGCGTTAACGACCTTGATGGCGTCGTAGCAGCAGGAGAGCTCGCATTGAGAGCATCCAACGCAGTTATCTTCGATAACTTTAGGTGGCTTTGTCTGCTTTGTAGCTTCCTGCTTGAGAGCGAGGCCAACGAGTTGATTGACGTCCTTAATTCCGTGTTGTGTTATCCAATCGATCATTTCGCCTGAAATTCTGTTGAAAACTTCACGGCCTGAGACAATTGCGGATGTGCAAATGCCAATGCCGGAAGCACCAGCCATAAGGAACTCAATAGCATCTGTACCTGTAGAGCAGCCGCCAACGCCGATAACTGGGATCTTGACTGTCTTGCAGACATCGTAGACAATACGCATGGCGAGTGGCTTGAGAGCTGGGCCAGAAACCCAACCGTATTTGGTGGATGAACCCATAACAGAACGGCCAAGGCACTCGATATCGAGAGCAAGTGTTGGGCCGAAGGAGTTAACGGCGACAATGGCGGATGCGCCTGCAGCTTCAGCAGCCTTAGCAGCGATATGAGCATCACGGAATGGAGAAAGCTTGAGGAGGATTGGCTTTCCACCTGTGCCATTGATAGCTGCCTTGATGGCATCCTGCATTGGCTTTGGATCGTCAGAGATGTAGTGAGTTGATAATTCGATAGCATCTGCAAATGGGGCAACTTTTGGTGCCATTTCGGCGATTTCCTCAGCTGTGTAGCCCATGGAAACGACGAGTGGCATCTTGGCCTTGTTGCAAGCCTCTCATTATCGAAAAAAATTTGGAAAGCTAAGAAGTCAATAACAAGTTATATAATACAACAAAACCCACATCGGATATGTTTTCATCAAATAGTCTCCTAGATTTGTTATGAAATTAAAATATCATGATATTTTAAGGGCTTTTGATTTCAATATTAGAATTATTCAGTTATGTCGTGCTAATATCAATTGCTTTATACAATTAATCGTTTACAAGCTGCAAAAATCGAACAATAATTTGACTTTGTAAAAAAAGTGCGTCGTTTTTATTCGTTATACTTACAAAATGTAAACATTACGAGAAACATTTACATTTGTAAATGTAACAAGTAAATACATCAGATTTAAATTGTAAATGTAGTTTATCTCTCTCATCTCCTTTTTAAAAGGTATTACATACATACGAACGCATGGGTCACTCAATAATTAGCGTGATAATAATTGAGGATAGACTGTAATCGTAATTTTATTTTTGGACTTATATTTCGACATTTTGAAGTCGCTTGAAAGTCTTGCAAATGATTAAATTTGGAAATTTTGACCTAAGTCTGCATTATTTTGATGACTTAAACAATTCTATAAATCTGTTTTCCTAAAAATTTAAAAAGATATAATTTCAATTTCCCTAAATTTATGTAATTCATATATCACCAAAATATTTGGACTGCATTTCGTTTGTCTGCACCTAATTAAAGTCTAAATACCAATTAATTTTGGAGTTGCATTGCTTTTAATGTAAAAATGCACGTTTAGAAAAAGACGATAACGATTAAATTACAAAATCGATAACGACGACGATTAAATTACAAAATCGATAACCTCTCCACGGCAAGACCAGCATAACATTCACGAGAAAGCATGTTGCCAACAACGAGTCAGGCACCGTATACCTTTCCGATGGAGCAACAGTAATCCATCAGGAACACTTCGATTGCAACCCAAGAAAGAAAGGCGACCCAGTTCAAGGCACAACATTCCAACAGGCCCTTCAGAGGTGCAAAGAGATTCAAAGAGAATACGAGTGTGACAATTCCTACCTTTCTCATGAATGTTTCCCAGATCTTCCACCTTGGGAAAATGAGTCAGTTCCTGAGTTTGGAAGCATCACCATTGATGAACAAGATTGGGATGGGCTTGATTTTCAAGCATCTCCTTCATTCCGCGATGAATTCGCCCTTCGCCCACCAAGAGGTCAGCTTGTTCAAATCATGGAAAAATTGGACCTAATCCGCATGGATGTTCAGCGTCTCATTGACCAATCAAGAGCTTGATTTTAATTTATTATTTATTTAAAATGATTTGACCACAAATGACTGTAATATACTTTTTCCTATATTTTATATTACTGAGCTATCTAATCTTCCTTGAAGATGCACTGAATTTAATCTTGATAGAGTTACACTTTGCAAATAACGTGCAAAAAAAATTTTTTTTGAGTGTCAATAATCAATTTTTTTTTTATAATGAAGGTAGCAGTAAATCCTCAAAATTTAAAGCCACCGTTTGAAAGAATTCATCATTTTGTTGCTACCCCTGCATATATTCCACCTACAAAATCTCCAAAACAGCAAAAAGGAAATAATCCTGCAAAATTAGACCCTCTTCCAGCTGTAGAACAACAGCAACTTGATAAAGGGCAAAACCTATCTACAGAATCATTCGAAAACGATATGCATATTGTTGGATTTGAATCAGAATTTGAAAATTTTATGGTCGAAGTTTTTGATACGAGTTTAACTGCAGCCTTAGAATCAACATTCAAAACCCGCTACTCCGCGCTTGATTGCTTGTTATGGGAAAAATCAGAATCTTTATCTGCGATTTATTCACAATCTCACTCGATTTACTCCCAAGATTTTCATTGCTTAGCTGGAGAATGCCTCCTTTCTTCTCATATTTTGACAACAAAATACCCAACAAAACATGAATCATATAATGCTCAAATAGAATCACGTTTAGTACTAGATAATACACCAGTTATGCTTTTTGCTCTTAATAACTACCAAGGACAAGCACGTTACGTCGTTCAAATCATTGGAACTCCCAATTCAAACGAATTTACCAAGAAAGATATCACTTTTATTAAATTTTTTCAAAGGAAGTTTGTTATATTCAGTCGTTACCTTATTGATCAACCATTACAAGAACCAATTTTACTAGATTTACTTAAAATCGACAAAATCGACAAAATTCTTTCTAAACTGAAAGATGGCTTACAATCCTATGTCAATATAAAGTCATTAGAGATCTGGTCACTTGACAAACAGAAGAAAATCCTTACAAAATACTTAGAAGGCAAAATTGAAGAAGTTGAAGACGACAAGATCGGCCAACTTGGTTATTTACTTAAAACAGAGAAATACATAAACACGGATAGCATCGATGATCCGTCAGATATCTCAAATGTCGGTGTTCCAACAATGATGATTCCTATTACAGACTACAGAGAACAAAGGACACTTGGAATCATCATCAGAGGTGAAAAGGATGGCATTCCTTTCGGTCCAGAAGCGGAACGTATGATGAAACAGTTTGCTCCTGTTATTTCCTTGGCCATTTCCAATTCATTGAACTACACAGGAGTTCTTTCCGATTTCAAGAAGACTACAGAAGAAAGAGAAGGACTTTCCGCACTTCTTGAAGTAGCAGAGATTCTTTCACGACAATTAGATATCGGAAGATTGTGTGAGATCATTATGGAGAAAGGTTGTTACCTTACAAAGAGTGATAGATGTTCATTGTTCTTAGTTTCACAAGATGGAAAATCTCTTACAACGAAATTCCATCGTGGTCTTACAAATGGAATTGAAATTCCTATCAACAAAGGTATTGTAGGAAAAACAGTAACACAAGCGAAACCATTGAATATACATGATGCTTATTCTGATCCTGATTTCAATGTTGCAACAGATATTGCTACAGGATACAAAACAAAAACAATCTTAAGTGTTCCTATATTTAATAATCGTGGAAAAATCATTGGTGTCACAGAAATGATCAATAAAAAGAACGGACAAGCATTTAGTATGTGGGATACTAATCTTATACAAATCTTCAATGTTTTCTGTGGTATTTCTCTTGAAAATGCTCGTTTGTACAATGAATCAATAGATATGTCTAAGAAATTGAAATCTTTCTTCGGAATTTCATTCTCTGTTAATAAAACAGAAGACATTAAACGAATTCTTTCAGACATCATGAAGAACGCACGCCGTGGTTTACAAGCGAAACGTGCATCAATATTTGTTGTTGATGATACTAATAAACAAATACTTAGATCAGTGATTGTCGATGGTGGAAAGATTCCTGCGACATTCAATGTAAGTGAAGGAATAATTGGTGCTTGTGTAAGAACAAAACAAGCAATATTTACTAATGATCCTAAAAACGAACCAAGATGGAATCCAAAGGTTGATGAAGTTACAGGGTTCCAGACAACGAATATCTTAGCTGTTCCTCTTATTTCTACAGAAGGAGATGTAATGGGTGTTGTCGAAATGGTCAATAAAATCAATGGTAAATTCAGTGATGCCGATGTTATGCTTTTACAAGCTTTTTGTAGTTTCGCTGCAATTACTATTGAAAACAGTCGAAACAAACAATTGGCGCCAATGTCTGTTAGATCAGCACGTCCTGTTATCTTCAATGACAGGAATGTTGAGAAGATGGCAATGACAACAGAACAAATGGAAGGAATGACAGGAATCTCATTCTGCGCATTCGATTTCGGTGATGAAGAACTTGTTAGAATGGTTTTCTCGAATTTAGTTATTTTCGGAGTGCCTGAGAATATGAGAACTAACCACGAAACATTGCTTCATTTCATTTTGCAGGTTAGATTGCTATATAACGATGTTCCTTACCATAATTGGAGACACGCATGTGATGTTGTTCAATTTGTTTCTTTTGTTTTGCAAAGTATAAATGCAAAAGAAATTTTCGAACCAATAGAAATCAGTGCAATTTTCATTGCTGCAATTTGTCATGATGCTGGTCATGATGGATACTCAAACATCTTTAATAGACAAGCATCAACACCATTAGGACAAATCTATTCAGGAAAGAACTGTGAAGAATTGTTCCATTTGTCATTAATTGCAAGAGTTGTAAATAGTCCGGAATGCAACATCTTTTCAAACATGACTCATGCAACAATGGCCAAATTCTGGGCAATGATGATTCGAATGATTATTGATACTGATCTTGAAGTTTTCAGTCAAGTTATGTCTAATAATTCATTGAATAATCTTGACATGAAGAACCAGAACTCTCGAATAAAAGTTTTATCATTAATCCTTATTTTGAGCAACATTTCCAATGTCGCTCGACCATTTGATGTTGCAATGCGTTGGTTGGACTGTTTGTCAACTGAATACTACAAACAAGGTGATATAGAGAAGTCACTCGGAATGAAATATACAAATGTAGCAAATAATAGAGCACTTCCAGATAAACCTAAAGAACAGTCTAACTTTATCAATACATACGCATTGCCTTTGTCTAAAGTTGTCGCCACTCTTTTCCCAGCATTAGATGTCATCTGCAAATCTATTGCAACTAACTTAGTTGAATGGAGTAAGACAAATCAATAAAAAATTGTATTTTTGTTGTGTTTTTTTTATTATAATTAATTCGATTTTTTATAGTTTTTAATTTGATTCAACTCACATGCTCATTATTCTCAAATAAGTTTATAAATCTCAAATATATGCTTGCTAAAAGTGGGGAACTTTACAAATCGAGGGGAAAAAGATTTATTGGGTACAACCATATGAAATGAAATGGTGTCGATAAAAACCGTTTTAATAGTCTAAGACTTAATTGTAAAAAAAGTACATTTAAGTTCAAAAATTAACGAAGAGAAATTTTTGATGTATTCATGTTTAAACTTCAATGTTTTATCTAATTTTTTATTAGAAAAATATAAAAAAGGACATCCTTCAATAGCATAATGAGTGATAAATGAATCTAATGGTGAAATTGATTCAATTGTACCTGAATAATCAAATATTAGAGTTAGATTTATGATATTTTCATTAATGTAACAATTTTCAATAATTGGTTTATAGGAAAACAAATAATCTCCTTGATTACCTATGAATGAACAATTGGAGTATGTAGTTGAATGAGAACAACTAATTATTGCATGTTCACTTTCTGAATATTTATTGTTTAAATAATTACATTTTGTAATAGTAAAATTACCTAGATTCGACATTCCACCCCATAATTGCGATGATGTATTTGATATTGTTGTGAAATTCATGATTCCTGTAGCTCCTATAAGCCAAATAAAATATCCTGCATACCAAGTAATTTCGTGATAAGATGTATTCATACTACTTATTTTGATTTCTCCATAATGATGATCAATAGAATTGAAGCATCCACTACATTCTGTAACTGAACATTCAAATGCATAACTTTTGTTGAAACTATGTTCAACTGACGAAATACAATATGCACAACCTTTATTTAATGAAGGATTTGATGAAAGTAATATACAAATATGAATTAAGACACAGTCAGAGTCTTTGATATATAATGATCCACCAGAGTTTTTGGAGCTGTTATTGTAAAATGTGCATGTTTCAAGCAAAACTTTGCTACTAGAATTAAGGGATATTGCTGTTTTTTGATAATGGAAAGAAAACATGGCATGATGAATGTAATAATTGCCACTTCCTGATATAGTTTCGTTATTAGTTTTATCATTGGGCTCACCTGTGTTGAAATATTCGGTAAAACTTTCTTGAAAATCCATAAAGAGTTGATCAGAGATTGATTTTGTTCATTAAGCAATTCTGAGTGTTGATTCATGGGAAACATATCGAAGTTATCGCAAAATATAATTTGGATGTGATCGGGAAATCAAATAAATTTCCCTTATGAAAAAATAAGGAATTTCAATACTATGTGCAAAATTTTTGAAAGAATATTTTGACATGTGAACATTATCAAAAAGAGGACAATTGAAATTGAGAACTTCAAAATCCTCTTATCAAAACATGACCGGTTTATTTGTGCAGATAAATATTGCAGTATTATCAAATGTGATTCTCTATCATCAAGAGAAGTTTTGAAAAATTTAAAAAGTTCCTTTTACAAATAAAAGAATATTTATAAACAGGGCATATGATTTATAAATAAACTTTTATTTATATAAGGGCCTAATTTCTTCCAATTAAAAATTTTAGATGTATAAATGCAAAAGATGTAGCTCAATCAAATTGATGTAAAATCATATGATGAAGCTATAGCTCTTCAGTTATCAGCCAACAAAATTTATTTAGAAATTTATGAGAATCTTTATACATAACCAACACATCAGCAGCAATGATAGTGATGATTAAACTGTACCCTATTGTTAGTCTCCAAACTGTTTGGAGGATATAAATTCAAAATGTTTTCTTAAGAGAACAATTAATATAACTACCGAGTTGAGCCTATTAACACAAAATTAAAATCAGATTGGAACATATTAGAAACACAAATCAACGGAAATTAATAAAAATAATAAATTTCGAAAAACACATATAAACAAAAATTTAGTCAGCAATGAATAGGTATCTCAAAAGGTTTCAAAAATGTCAAAGAATACGGCCTGAGAATCAAGGTGTTCTGCAAATTTTGGATCAGGAATGACATTTTTGTCGACAGCAAGCATAACGGTTTTGTAATTCACGAGATAGGCTGTGAGAACAGTTGTTCCTAAACTATTGGCTAAGTTCACTGCTGCAGTTGCCACACCCTTTTCGTTCATTTCTTCATAAGCTCTATCATAAGCAATCTCTGCTGTTGTGGGTGTATCGGCTGTCTTATTGTAGATACCTAACGAACTCAAAATGGATGAGAGTTGGTTTTGATAATAACTTAAGAAAACGCAGAAGGTATAGCGGACACAGACTCCACGTCCCATCTTAACTTCATTGCGATATTCGTCTACATTAGTGATTAAGTAACTCAAGAAATCTCGAATTTGGATGAGTTTAAGGCCTTTGTCTTTCTGGCTCTGGAACCACTGGTTCCCAAATGTATCATCTACGCCGTTGCATTTCAATAAGAACATGTATTCAGACTTGAAATTTTTTTGAATATTACTTTGTGTACCAGGCCCTGTCTTTCTTGGAGTCAAGTACCTGGAAAGATGTTGCTGATGTTTTGGATTCGTCAATTTGGCAAAATCTATACCGTTGGACATTATTGTTGATTTCTCCCTTTTTGGAATATTAAAAAATCAGTTTCATTCAAAAAAAATTGAGAAAACATAAAGCATTAGAGTTTATTTTTATAAAAAAATCATCACAAGGTATAAAGAATTAAATATGAGTCAAATAGTTTTTGACCCAAAAATTACACCAAATTTGAAAAGAATATTCAAAAGAAATGATGCCATTGAATCTCAATTGCCTATGCTGGACAAGCCTAATTAATATTGCGAACATATTAATCTCTGTTACCTTTATGCCCTCTCTGAGTTTCAAGACAATAGCGATGTTAGATTTTAGAGGGACAGTATATGATTTAGGATGATTAACAAATTTAGATTACCAAACTGTTACAACATAATTGGATATAATTAGTATTGAATTCTGGCGACTATTTTTAATCTTTGGATTCAAATATCAGTATTTTCCTACATGGATGCAAGCAAAATAAATGCATACTTCATTGACATTCTAATTGTTCTCTTACATGAAATAACTATCAAATTGAACAAAAAAATCAAACAATCGAATTTTCCAAACACAAATGATTAAAACACAAGTTTTAATGGCGAATTTGGTGCTCGTTAATTGTTAAAACAATGAGAGTTGAGATTTCAATTTTTGAAGTGCATTTTTAAAGGATTTTAACGAACAATTTCGTTTATCTATCATTTTGCGCATTGAAATGAATAAGATTTTATTTCCAATTGAAGCATTTTTGATGAGATTTTTACAATTTCGTTCTAAAACATAAAATTCAATAAATAATAATGATATTTGGAAACAACATAACTATATTTTAATAATAAAAATAAATAAAAAATAAACAATCTAAAAATATCGAATTATTTTCCACAAATTCCCAGAGGATCTTCACTATCATTAATCCATTTGGTTGTTATAGCTTCTGCGCGCTGTTTTATCGCTTGTTCGTCAAGACCCATTAATTGTGTAACTAATCCTTCCAAATACGTCATTGCGAACTGTAACTGTGGGTCGTCTGAGACATTCTCATTAAAAGACATCGTATACAAAGCGATCGACATCCATTCTTCGCAGCCAAATGCGATAATACAAATTTGCAAAACAGGGAACAGAGAATCGAAGTCGATTTCGACATCTTCAGGGTTAACACCCTTATATATGACCAACAGCTTCGACATACATTTGGCAGCTTCTTGAATAACGTCCCAAAAAACGTGAGCGATGTCAAACGGATTCGTTAGAATAAGCATCTCAAAAAGCATGTCCACGACGGTTTTGAATGGCCAGTCCATACCGGCCAACATGTTAAAGGACGTATGTTGGAATTCTTCTGGAAGGTCTGTTTTAGCGATAGCGGCCGGGAATACAGCGTTCAGCTTTGGTAATTTTATCTGTCTGTTTATACCAAATGGATATGGCTTGTGCGACCACGCAATGTCGAATAAAAGATGTTCGTATTCAACGAAGTTGTTGTTGTTCTCGGAAAGATGCTCAATAATTGTATATACGTCGAGGTATTTAAGAACAGATATCTTTTCTTCAAATCGTTGAATAATTTTTCCTGAATTCGATAATGGGTGCAAAGCGTTGGAATACCAGTCTCCTGTGCCTGGCTTTGTAGGTACGAGTGGTTTAATATGCTTCTCGAGTATGGAAAGTTGCTTTTCGAGCTTTTCTGTTCTGGCATCTTTTAATACTAAACTGTTGAGGAATCTGTCGGTTTCTATCGATGGAACAAGTTTGTATGACTTTGGAATAGCTTTCAACCAATCCAAAAATGACGTACAACGCGAAATATTGACTTTCATCATATCTGCGTAAATTGAATGAAGTCTGAGGCTTTTTCTCTGGTATATACTTTGTATAGCGGCTTTATCACGATTTTCTTCAACTCCTTGGCGAAACAGATCGTGCATTTCTTGAATTAACAAATTTCTATTTTTAAGTATCTCTGTTTTCTTGATCACATGGAGATTTAGTTCTCCCTTATATTGTTTAATATGATTTTGAATGATTCCCGTCTCATTCTCAAGTAATTTCAGTCGAGCTTTGTTTAAAGCGTTTGTTGAGTTCGAGAACTTAGCTGATATGCTGTTTTGATCTATATACTGTGTAAAGTCTTCCTTATCGATTGTAAAAATATCTGTCTCCGATTTATTTTGCCTGATTTTTGGTTGAAATGAAGTAATATCATTGGCAAAGATACTATCACCTGTTGAAATCTGTTCAAATAATAGGTTTTTATCAAAATCCATTGACTTAAATAATCTCTTTTTCCTCTTTTTTTCTCCAGAAACTTCAAAAAGGTCTGCTTTGTCTTCTGTTTTAGGAATTACGCGGACCTTTGGAGGAGGGAGCTCCGGAGCTTCTCTTTTCTCTGCTTTTGAAATGTTTAGGGGATCAAAATCATCATCCATCTTTGGTTTTAAATTTTTATCAATAAAAAGTGACAACCGGATCTATATTTTTTTTTCTATGACATTCTGCCACAAACTTCGATCTGATAATGAAAAACGGAATAATCTTTATATTAGTAGAGAGGCTTAGGGACATTTAGACATCATTATGAAACTACTAATTCATCCTGAAAATGACTTACACTATTTTACATTTTAATCGTTATTTTATTTCATATCACATGGCAGTATTCTATAGTCTGATTTTAACTAATAATCTATGTTAAAGACAGTACATGCCTTAAAACCTTATAGATTTTCATTTACATTGCATATCAACCTTCATTTTGTTTATGGTCATTAGATAATTAAAGCATTGAGTATATAAATGAACTGATAATACTAGTGTGCAGAAAATAATTCTTTGCGCATTCATAAAAGATAAATTATTTATACATTAAGTATTGCATTGAATCATTATCAAATAAGTACAATGGTTAAATAGGAGAAAATAGATTTTCTGCACACTATAATGTATAGATTTTCCTAGGCCTTTCATAGGAAGTAAAATATGGCTTATTTTCTAACTACGTTATGGGAAATCTTCGTGGACAATATTTTCCAGATTTATATTCTGGTAATTTTCCATCATAGTGTATTTCAAACATGTATTATATGGTAAAATGAAAATGTGTCTTTTTAAAATTTTTATTAATGTCCGAGAAAAACATTCCAAAGAAATACAGTGAATTGCGAAGCATCTACAAAAACTACATCGATGCATATAATGCGTTGTATCAGCTGAAAACTGAAAAAGGAGAAGGATTAAACACAATTTACAAAATGATCAAAACAGAATTGATTGAATTCAACAAACAGCTTCCACAAAATATTATCAGAGACATCTCAAATATGAGTCTGTATAATAATCGCTATACGAAGTCGTATTTATCTCTTGCCAAACTCATTTCTGATGAATATCACGTAACAGATGTCAGCAATATTGAAATTGCTTTTAATTTCTTGTTTTATAAAGAATATGGAATTAAATTAGACAAATCTAGTAATTTCGATAAAATTAAATTCAAAAATCTGGATATTCATTCAGAAAACACAATTTACAGTGCCATTATGAATGATAACAAAGAAGTATTCATTTCATTTACGCAAAGAGAAGGATTTGATAAAAATCAACAACTTAAAAGCAGATTTTATCCAAAAATAAAAAGAAAAGAAAGTTATGGAACTTTTGATAAAAAAATATTCATTACTTGATTTATGTTGCTACCACGGAGCAATTGATTGTTTCAAGTTCTTAAGAACAAAATACAGATCAGAAATAACTCAATCATGTCTACAACTTTCATTTTTAGGTCGAAACAAAGAGATCTTGAGTGAATGCTTGAAATATAAAAAACCAGATGAAGAATGCATGAAATATGCAATGATTTCACACAACATCGATTTTGTTACATTCTTGATGAATGAACATAAAATGAAATTCAATCCATATGATTGTGGGCTTTATAAAAATCTCGAATCATTTTTAGTTTATTGCGATCAAAATCATAATTATCACAAATGTATTGTTCATTCCGCGATGTTCACTATTCCATCTCTTTTGGAATATTTTGCTTCACATGGTGGATATATCAATAAAAGAAATCAATTTGGAGATACAGCTCTTCATTATGCAGCACGTTTTAATAGTAAAGAAATGGCAGAGCTTCTTTTTTCACGTCGTGCATTTATCAATAAAATAAATAACTCTGGACAAACTGCTCTTCACATTGCAGGAAGGACTAATAGTAAGGAAGTAGCAGAGCTTCTTATTTCGCATGGTGCAAATATCAATGAAAAAGATCATAATGGAAAAACCGCTCTCCATATTGCGGCATCTAAAAATAGCAAAGAAACAGCCGAGCTTCTTATTTCGCATGGTGCAAATATCAATGAAAAAAATAAATATGGACGAACCGCTCTTTATATTGCGGCATTTAATAATAGCACAGAAACAGCCAAGCTTCTTATTTCACATGGTGCAAATATCAATGAAAAAAATAAATATGGACGAACCGCTCTTTATATGGCAGTATTGAAAAATTATAAAGAAACAGTTGAAGTTCTTGTTTCACATAATGCAGATATCAATGAAGGTGACAGATCTACAGCCCTTCATATTGCAACAATGAATAAAAATAAAGAAATAGCTGAAGTTCTTATTTCACATGATGCAAATATAAATAAAAGGAATGAATTTGGAGAAACCGCTCTCCATATGGCAACAGAATATAATAGCAAAGAAATAGTAGAACTTCTTATTTCGTATGGCGCAAATATCCATGAGGAAAATAAATATGGACGAACCGCTATCTATTTTGCACGTCTATTTGGATATGAAGAAATAGCCGAACTTCTTATTTCGCATGGCGCAAATATATCCAGGAAATAGATAAATATGGAAATACCTCTCTTATTTTGCATGTCATAAACATTATAAAGAAATAGTCGAACAGAAGTTAATACAAATGCTAATTTCTTAAGGCTTCACTAACATGACAAAAGTTAGAATCCTTTGAGATATATATTCTATGATGTAAATCAATTATATATTAATCATTATTTTTAGCTTTTTTATTTGACCCACATAAAAATGCATTCCTCCACTAACATGAGTTATAACGTGCTTTTTCCAAAAATGAAAGACTACTAGAGTAGGGTTTATTTTTCAGCCTTTTAAAATTTTTGTCATGCTTGTGAAGCCTTAAGCTGCATGAGATCTAAAAGGTGCACTTACACACGTATGATGGTATTAACTCCAATTTTTGATTGTTCACAGAATTGGCAGAAATTAGAATTTTAGTCATTTGGGCAATTATAGGTTTATAGATAGGAACTTGCTTACAATCTAAATTCTGTGACAGTTATTTTTTGCTTACTTAAGGCCATAGCTCTTCTTGTTAAGGTAATTAAGGAATGCATGATATATTTCTGTCCTATTGTTATTTTTGTTACCTCATACTAAACACCTAATATTAGAAATCTATACATAAACTATATATAGAAATTTAAAACTTATATAGAGAATTTTCTTAAATTCTCAATTTCATAATAATGATAGAAATTAAACGCAATTATTAATAAACTAATAACAAATAGTGCAAATTATTGCTTTGATATGAGTTGATAAAAAATATGAGCTAAATTTTGAAAAAAAAGTTAAACATTTAGATTGTATTGTTGATAGTTATATTTAAGCTCTGTAGCCATTTGGATTATGTGACTGCCAGTTCCATGAATCACGAACCATATCTTCAATTGTTCTTGTAGCTGTCCAACCAAGAACTTCCTTAGCATATGAAGGATCAGCAACTACTGTTGGAAGGTCACCTGGTCTTCTAGCAACGATCTTATAAGGAATTTCGATTCCATTGACTTTCTCGAAAGCGTGGACGAGTTCGAGGACAGAGCAGCCCTTACCTGTTCCAAGATTGACAATGAGTGGCTTGCTGTCTGGGTGTGCATTCAAGTAATCCAAAGCCTTGACGTGGCCAATAGCAAGATCAACAACGTGCAAGTAATCTCTAACACCTGTGCCATCTGGTGTTGGATAATCATTACCGAAAACGTTCAAGCATGGCCGCTTTCTAACAGCGACTTGAGAAATGAATGGCATTAAATTATTTGGAATTCCACTTGGATCTTCACCAATCAAGCCTGATTCGTGAGCACCTACAGGATTGAAGTATCTAAGAAGGACAATTTGCATCTTCTTATCGGCAACATAGCAATCTTGGAGAATTCTTTCGATGAAATACTTTGATGTACCGTATGGGTTTGTTGTTCCACCGACTGGAAAGTCTTCTTTGATCAGTGGAGCATTTGGATTGCCGTAAACTGTTGCTGAGCTGGAGAAAATAATCTTCTTGCAGCCGAATTGACGCATTACATCAAGGAGAACAAGTGTACCGTTGACATTGTTTTTATAGTACTCGATTGGCTTAACAACTGATTCACCAACAGCCTTTAAGCCTGCAAAATGGATTACTGAATCAATCTTGTACTTCTCGAAGCAAGATTTTAATGCATCTCTATCTCTGATATCTCCCTTAACGAACTTTACGTCCTTGTTGATGAGCTTTGAAACTCTCTTCAATGATTCTTCGCTTGAATTGCAAAGATTATCATAAACTATGAAATCGTAACCAGCCTTAGCGAGTTCGATCAATGTATGGCTTCCAATGTAACCTGCACCGCCTGTGATGAGGATAGACATTATGAAAAATGAACTATCTTTTTTTATTTTCATAAGAAATTGCAATTGAATATGGATTTAAAATAATTAATCTATAATTTGATAGAGAAAAGTAAATCATAAATAATAAACATAAATAGCAGAATAGTTTTGACGGGCACAAGCTCAATTTTTTGACGGGTAATGACGGATTGATCGAAAATTGTGAGAACCGAAATGCCAAAACCCTATCAAATTTTGTTAACCCTCTGAAATGAATTTTGAATTGCAAAAAAGCCTCTGCGTTAAATGTCTCTATTTTATAATTATTCGTGGGTAAATTGAGTATCGGTATCGAATTAAGCCTCTAGGAGATTTTTGATATATTTTCATCCTAAAATGGCCAAGAATTAAAATGATTTTTATAAAAATTGAAGATTTCGGGATATAGTTTCAGAATATATTAACAAATAAAAATTTCCTGCATATTCTATCATGGAATATTTCATATCATCATTGATCGAATGAAGATCAATCTTTTAAACATAATTCAACAATTACCTAGCAAACAATTAATTCATTTCTAATAAGGTTTAGTAATTTATGTCTCTTTCCAGTCGAATAATCATTTTATCAAAAAATGAACAATAAAAACTTGAATTTCACGGCCAATTCTTCAAAATTATGTTTGACCTAGTATAAAATTATTAGATCTGATGCAAAATATCATTTCTAAAATCTGAAATCAATAAAAAATTGACGAAAATGCTTCTAACACTATTATATGCAACATTAAGCTTTTCAATTTTACCAGACGAGATTTCAGAATTACATGAAGTCACAGATATCTCTAACACAACTTCTACTTCATTCTTTTTCAATCTACAAATATTCAATCCAAGTCCAACCGAATTTAAATCACTTTTAGATAGAAATATTTTACTAAATTCAAAATCAAAGAAGAAAGCTCAAGTTGAAGAAGAAGAGGAGGAAGAGGAAGAAGATTCAGAAGAATCTGATGCACCTTCAAAGCCAGCAAAGAAACAGAAGAAAGGAAAAGAGGAAGAAGATGATGATGGTAGCGAAGATGAAGAGGAAACTACAGCAAAAAAAGGAAAAAATTCTAAGAAATCAACAGATGATGAAGAAGAAGAGAATGAAGAAGAGGAAGATGAAGAGAAAACAACTTCTAAGAAGAAATCTACAAAGAAACAAGAAAAAGAAGAAGAAAAGGAAGATGATTCTGAGGAAGATGAAGAAGAAGAGGAAGAAGAGGAAGAGAAACCGGCTAAAAACAAGAAAAAGCAAACAAATACAGATACATCAGCTACAGAAAACAATAATACTTCAAAAAAGAATAAAAAGACAAATACAAAGAAAAAACCAGTAGAAGAAGAGGAAGAAGAAAACGATGAAAAAGATGAAGAAGAGGAAACAAAGACAAAATCAAAAAAGAAACAAAAAAATTCTGAAAAATCCGAAAAAGAAGAAAACGACCAAGAAGATGAAGAAGAAGAGAAAGAAAAGCCAAAGTCTAAGAAGCAGTCAAAGAATGCAGAAAAAGAAGAATCAAAAGGAAAAAATAAAAAATCTGGAAAAGGAAAGAAACAAGAAAAAGAAGTAGAACAAGTACCAAAAGGAGAAACACAAAGTAATCAATCATTACCTGTATTGCAATTGATCAAAGAAAACCCAATAATGCCTTATACAATTATTTCACCATTAATTGTAGTTATCGTTGTCGCAGCCATTTTTGTATATACAATTATGACACAGGACCTTCGTGGTTTGCCACCTCCTGTTCCACAGAACCAAGGACTCATTTCTGGACCAAATGACCCTCTAATTCAAGATGTGAATGATAACAAGGAAGATTTCCAAGAAAACGATGCACCTCTAAATACGTTACAGCCATTGGTTCCAAAATAAGCTTATTATTTTATATGTTTTATATTTTTATTTATTAATTTATAAAATTTGATATCTGTTTTAGAAAAATATACATGTTTTGGTTAGGTTCTATTGCAAAGTCACAAGTAAAATAAACAAATTCCAATGAAAATTTTATAAAAATAATATATTTACAAACAAAAAGTAAAATAATAAGCTAAAGATCTCATAAGCTTATGACAATGGTATTTTTCTATGACAATTCTTGTAATTTGTTTTCGAGCTTCAATTTTGCTTGGAAAAGTGAAGTTGCGTTCATTTGGTAGACGGGAACGTTCAAAAATGATAGAATAGTCGCACTATCGGTAAGTAAATAAAACGTGTCTTGGTCGATTTTTTTATCTGATAATAAATCATAAACAGTGCCGCCATTTTGAAGGATCTCAAGTATTTTTTCACATGCTGATATTCCAGCTTGCAATTCTGTAACTTGTTCTTGAATTTCTTCCTCTGGATCAGAATTATTTTCTTCATTCATAAATATTTCTTGATCATCATCTTCAGGAATTAAATTTCCGTTTTTGTCTTGCTTGAGTTTCAATTCTTCGTCTAAGGAAAATGGCTCGATTTCATGTTCATCCATAAGTAAGTGAACAATTGCATCATGTTCAAATTCTATTCCTTCTGGAATATCTTTGACGCGCCGTTCGTCATCTAAATCATGATACAATTCATCGTATTGAATTTCGCCGTCATCATCGCTAACATCATTTTGAATTTCTTTTATGACATCCTTATCTGTTTTATTGTGTTTCATCATCCATGCAATTCTGAGAGCTTCAAACCTCTCATCATCACATTTTGACATTTTGAAAAAAATCTAAAAAAAGTGGCGACAAGTTATTCAAGAATAAGTTATTTATTTCATCATATCATTAACTTTACATTATTGCTCTAATTAATTCCAAGGATAGTAATTATTTTTAATTGTTATAGACCGAAAATAGATTTTTTCAGTTTTCTCTTCAAATAATTGAAAGAATGATACTATTATAGGTTTATTATATTATATAGCATATAATCATGCTATAGCCGAAAATTATAAGTTTTGAGAAGATTGAATATAACACAAATAAATTTGAATGTAAGTTAAATTGCTTGTTGTTTTTAATAGCTATTTAATGAGAAATCCAATATTGCAAAATTCAAATTGAATGATTGAAAGAACAGAAAAAGTCATTCTTTTCAATTTCGAATATGTTTCATTGTATTTATACTTATATGGCAAATAAGATATTTAAACTTGATTTTTGAAGGAAAATTCACAAAATTGAATAAATTCAAATAATTTTTATTCAAAAATAAACTAGTTATTTGAGTTTAATACTAATTATCTATTCAAACTAGAAAGTTTGTAATTTAAAATATTTTGTGAGATCAGATTGAATTAATTCAAGGTTCTTTTCAATTAATATTAATGACCATATTACGCATTTTCGAACATTCTAAACCAAATATATAAAAATGGGAGACGAATGTTAAATTTGCTAGACATGGGGGAGTTGTCTGCAAAGTTTTAGCTCTTATCTCTAACAAAAAATTAATTTTTAAAAAAATGACCGAATACGTTTCACAGCGAGAAAAAAATAAAAGGCAAGATAGAATTTTCTAGACATAAAGAAGTTGTTTACCGAGTTTTAGCTCTTATCTCTAACAAAAAATTAATTTTTAAAAAAATGACCGAATACGTTTCACAGCGAGAAAAAAATAAAACTGTACACTGATTTTCATTTTCATTTCCAGTCACTTTACTTATTATTTTTTCTTTTTTTCATTTTAATTATAAATTATTTCATAATACGTTTATTTACGTTACCATTTTCTTTATTCTTTTGAATTCCATACTAGACACTTATAGAATATTTTGATTGTTAACGTACTTCATTAGAATGAATCCTTACAAAGGGTATGTCGATCGAATTTACCTAATTGGTATTTCCAATCAGATTGAAGAAGGTAAAATGACATGGGAAGAACTTGCACCCATGTTCCCATCGCCCCAACCCTTCAATCAAATGATTTCAAATATTTAGATGTTTCAAAATCTTTTTTACAAAATCAATTTGGCTTACAAAATATCCCATTGCCTAAAGGCAAGAAAGGTCGTAGGGTCAATCCCTACGACCAAATCAAAGCTCTTGCTGTGATACATGACCACTGGGCCTTTCCCTGTGGTCAAACAAAACAATGGAAACGTTTGAAATTACAACAAATTGATGTATCTTATAGAGAAGTACGCAGATACTTCAAAGAAAATCATTTCACCAAGACGCGATTAGAGCATGCCGGGCCAGAAACAGCAGTAAGATATTGGGCGCTTTCACCCAATCTTATCTGGAGTTAGTATACATATCTTCAGTACGGTGGCACTGCGCGCCATCTTACCGAAGACATGTCAATCTGACACTTTACAAAACCACTAACGTATATTTTACATCGCATATGCAATATTTCTAATAACCTTAAACTATTTCTGCCACGTAAAGTATTTATCACATAAACCACCTCATCTCACCTCTCTGTACGTTATATATTGTGCGCAGGTCATTGCCCATGGCAACTCCCCGCGACACAATGCACGTGCATGAAAAAATAAACGTTCTCACTAACGTTCTCACTAACGTTCACACTAACGTTCTCATTTACAAAAGTATTGCAACTCTTTCCATTGCTGTGCTTCACATAATAGTTCATATTCTTCAGTATCACTACTGTCGCTCCAATCGTCTGAGTCAAAGTCGCTGTCATAATTAATGTTTATAAGTTTTGACAAATGTAATGAAACACGCTTACCGTTTGTATCTACTGCTTGTATATATCTTCCATTATGTTTGCTATCATAAACGCTCAAACTAACTTTACCCTTTCTCCCTCGTATCTGATAGAATGTATTTTCATGAGGAACGAAGAACAAATTCTTGAACTCATGACCGTTGTAGTTTGTTATCTCAATAGTTTTCGTCATTACATCCAAATAAAAATTTTCAGTAAAAATAAAACTAATGAAATATTTTATTCCTCACTGTCGTCTGCTTTATCCAACTCTTCTAGCTTCTTCCTAAGTTCAGCAATGTTGTCCTCATGAAGTTTAATCTTCCTTAATATACCTTCTTTATCTAATGGTTGCTTTATCTTTCTAAACTGAACTCTACCATCCTTCATAGTATGAATGTAAAAACCTTCTGGAATAGTTCCTGATTTAATGTATTCTACCAAGAACTTTTGTTTCATTGCTTCAGTGACTTTAGTCGTCATTTTACTCTAAATAAAATGTTCAAATAAAATAAAACTAACGTTATTTTTTCAGTAAGGAAACGCAGGAGTTTTACGATTTATTTGAGGAGTAGGTTCTGGTTTAAATGTCGGAGTCGGTTTAGGAGTTGACTTTTGAACAGGAGTTTGTACTTCCATAGGTTCAGGAGTCATTGAAGGTTTTGCTTGTGAAGGCGTTGGTTTTGGCGAAGGTGTTGGAGTTTGTTTAACTTCAGCTACTTCAGTATTATTTACAACATTTGCTTTATTTCTTTTCAACATCATAACTGCTCCTGCTGTAGCTAGCAAACCTAGTGGGAGACCATATTTTATATAAGGACTTGACCAAATGCTATTTTTGACAGGAGCTGGTGGAACACCTAACCTTGGTGAGACTGCTCTTTGCCATTGTGCAGCTCGTAAGAAATATTCAATAGGTGCTCCATAATCGTTTGGTAAAGTTTGTTTCATAGATGGTGAAGGTTCACGAGAGCTTGATGAAGAACTCATTTATAAGCTTTAAAAATAAACGTTCATCCTTTATTCCTCACTGTCGTCCGTAGCTAAGTTATAGTCATCTAATCTTATTATGGGGATGCCATTAGCACGCACCTGAATGGCAAAGCAACAATCCCTCATAAATCCAATAAGTAGCTTTGGTACATTTTCAGTTGCTAGTTCAATAGGTCCTTTAACAGTCAATTTGTATGTTATTGGAGCAGTAGATGTTTGACCTTGCTGGAAGCAAAAGTCCACTTCTGTTGGAAAACCACATAAGAAATGTGTGTTGTCATAGCTATCCCATTTATGTTCCACACTACCATCATCCACCAATGACCTCATAACATCTTCATTAAATCCTATCATATCATTGTTTGTATTGCAAGCGTTCGCAACCATTTCATAAAATACAGGTCCATATGATTTTTCAGGTTCTGCAGGCATATTTCCATAAGCTCCCATGGAAAGCTGAAGATATTTAAACTTAGGGTTCTCAAAATTAACATAATAGTTGTCTTTCTTTCTAAATAGTGCCCAAATACTTTTAACATTAATAGGCGTATAAGCTGCTGTAAATGTTGCACTTGAACTATCTGTATTCTTTGAGAATGAACCGTCCATAGGAATCCAATCCATAACTTTAACAGGAAAACATAAAGCCTCGTTTGTATAATGTTCTACAAGTTCTGTATAAATGTTAGGGTCTAAAGAGAATGACTTTGGATGAATGAAACATTCATTAAAATCCATCTTTGTTCGAAATAGTTGCTGGGTTACAGTTGTAATAGTAACTGTTCCACTAGCTTCTACTGCCTTCGTTATCATAGTGAATGGTTCATTCCATGGAACAAATTTATTTGTCGGTGGATTTGAATCTGAAGCAAATGCAACTTTAAGAGTTGGATTGAAAGCAACGATATCATTTACAGATATAGATGTGCATTGTAAGGCGTCGCTACTGAACTTTACTTTAAGCTGAATGTTTCCTGCAAAAGCTGGAATAAATCGAATAGCTTCTAATGGAAGGAATCTTCTAACAGGAATTCTTAAACGAAGCTTAAAATCAAATGATTTTCCTGCTGTAATTGGACCACTAACAATTTGTCCTGTTCTGCATGTTCCCGAATGACTCCACACATCTTCATGTCGAGTCTTTGAGAAAACATCTACTTTCTTTATTTGTTCGGTAGTTTGTGAGTTTGAAGTTATATATGCTTCTTCTCTTGCGTTGTCTTGAGAATATACGATACGACCATTTGCAAGGATTTGATATCCAGCAACTGCATAGAAAGCGTCATCGAAACCAATCCAAAATCCTGGTGGGTTTGTTTTATTGGAACCTGAACCAATTTCTTTATCTACAATAAATTGACCTTCCATTTTATACGTAATGAATGTATTGTAAAGGTCCAACATATTTTCACCAGGAGGTGAGAAATTGAATGTTACCCATGTGTTATCTTTAGCAGTTCCAGGTTGTGATGGAATCTTTGCGTCAGAATATTTTCTATTAGTGTCACCAATTTGAACTGCATTGTCTATGATATCGAAATATGAGCGAATCTGATGAATATGCTCTGCTGGAGTAAATTCGTTTAGCTGTTCATTCTGCATGTATTTACTTCAGATAAAAATATCTATTTACTTCATTATTCTCACTCTTCTTCTTGGCATTCGTGGTGGAAGTTGTTTCTTGACATTTTCAATGAACTGTACATTCTCTTTTGTCTCAACTTCTTTCACTGGCGGTCAGGGTTCTTTGACTCGGTTTGTTTTTCAATGAAATTCACGAACTTTGCAATAAGCTCTTGGTTCGTTATTGAAAGTACATCTGGCTTCTTTTCTTCTTGTTCTTTTGGTGGCTCAGTTTGAACAGAAGGTTTTATATGGACTTCACCCTTGCCATGCACCTTAATGTTGTCGCTTTCTGCATTCGCTAATGGAACCTTTCTTTTTCTTACGTATATTTTACCATCTTTACTCTGACTTACGTAATAGAAAGGATGTTGTATTCCTCTTGCGTCATTTAATATAATAGACTCTCGTTCTGATTTTGACAAGCTCATTTTACATCGGTTAAAGTTTTAAGTTAGATTTTTATCCACAGTCAAATGACTCAGACAAGCCCTACGGACAAGACCCAAGGGGTCATAGATGTTGAAGCATTGAAGAAAGAAATTCATGAGCAAATTTTATCCGAACTGAAGGAACAAAAACAAGAACAAAAGCCAGAGAGACCAAAGAGAAAACTTAGTGAAAAACAACTTGCTGCATTAGCTGCTGGAAGACAAAAGAACCCAAGACTACTGGCGAAAAAAGCTAGAGAAGAAGCTGAAGCAAAAGCTAAAGAAGCTGAAGCAAAGAAAGAGTAAATGGTTTATTTTTATCCGAATTAAATGTATAGACAAATACCTTTATCTGTTGCGTTCAGTAGTGAAAACCCTGACGTCAAAATAAAGGGGAACAGAGTAACGTTTAAGTTTCCAACAGACTGGATTGTGAACATAAATGAAGAGAAGTACATTGGCATAACAAATATGTATATAACACGTGCTTTCAGAAAGGTTGACTTTATACTTCAAGTCGAGATAGAAAATGACGAACAGTCTTTAAGCGCCCAAAACATTCACATATACAAATACTTTAAAGACGATACAACATTGTTGCAATGTATGATTTCATTTAATGAGATGTTCGAGAAAAAGTTCAACATTGAAGTACAAACTTTACAGCCTTTACGTGAGTTTCTTGTACAACTGAAAGAAGAAGGTAGTCGGCCACAACTTATAGACTTTCATTATGAATTTAATGAAAATGAAGATGGAACTCATGACTGTCAGTTTGTTATATATTCACCACTCAATGAAGTAGCTAAAAAGAAAGAAAATCCATTACGTATAAGATTTCAAATCTCTGAACCAAGTGATGATTTCAAAAATGTTTTCAATTATGATGCAATGCTTCCGAGGAAAAATGAATTTTCAAAGATTGTAACACCTGGCATTTGGGATAGAAAGCAAGCTATATTATATTCAAACTTAAGTAAGGGAGTTGAAAATGAGTTCATTGGTCATACAAGAACTTCACCACTTCCTAACCCTAAATACTATAAATTAACTGGCTTCAATCGTGAGTTTTGGATAGACATGTTCTCCACTCATGACCATAACTGCCCAGTGTTCTTACCTCCAGACCATAAGGACTGTCTCTACATTGAAGCACAACTCTTAAACTCTACCATCGCAGTATTGTAAATGACCACATGGGCTTCGCCCTTGCCGCTAGCGGCTTATTTTTATCACGAATGACCTCATTGCTGACAAAAATAAATGACCTCAGAACTTCAACTTACGAATAAAGCTTGTTTTAGTCGTTATTGAGAAGTTAAACTTCTCTTCAAAGCATGGACTAGAAGACTTACATAAGTCAAATCCAATCTCTTGACCATCATGAAGTGCTTTATATAACTTCATAACACTGAACTCAGAGTCTTTGTCAAATTTTCCTTGCGGAACCATTAAACCTTTATCTTCATCATAGAAACACTGAACAGAGTCAGGAAACATTTCATTAGCGGTTAAAGCAATAACATCTTGCATCACGCCTTTCATTCTGCAGTGAAATGCAACTTCATTTAAATCATTCGTGAGTAAGTCTATGTAAGTCTTCTTTCCACAAAATATTGACTTGTATGCTAAACTTTGTTTTCCAGGTGTGATTTCTGCAAAGTCGCTATGAAATTGACCAAGGTTTTTACCAATGAGAACTCTTCCATAACGTTTCTCAAACTCTTCAGCTAAACGAGGGATATCTTCATTGTAGAGATGCATACTGTCCGTATCGCTATAAAAGATGTCCATTCCTAAGTCCTCAGCAGTACAGAATACTTCACACATTATTCTCTTCGACATTGACAGAATATTAACACCAAGTGGACAGAAGTTAAAGTGTCTGCAAATGCTTTTCGTTAGCTTGAAAATAGTTTTATCTGAACCATCCAAACCTTCGAACTTCACTATATGGTTGTAGTTTCTGATGGCATATCTTATAGCATCTTTGTCATCTACTATGGTTATTTTTGACTCAATAGGAGATAGAATAGTTTTGCCATAAATACTGTTCAGAATGAGCTTTATATTTTCTTGCAATGGATTTCCTTCTTTCTTATACTTTAACCTTAACTCAAACAACTTCTTTACTTCATCTCTTATTCTAATATCTCTGTTTCCATCGTAATAGTATCCTTGCAACACTTCACATTTGACACCTTGATATTTTATGAGGTCTTGTAATGTTATATGGTCAACATACATTAAACAGCAAGTGTTTGAACTTCTGGGAACGTTAAGTTCTGGATTTAGTTCAGGGTCACAAACTATTAAAGGAAAGTGTCTATGTATTCCAATCTCTGTTATCTTAATGAGAACAAAGAAGCCAGACATAAACTTTTCACCAATGGGTTCCTTTTGGTCGTCATCGAATAAATGTCTCATGAGATACTCTGTGCTTAACATTTCTTTCTTCATAACCTTTGGAATACCTTCTAAAGTATAAAGTCTTGCTATAGCTGATGGATATAATGAAACAGCGTCGAAGTCAGCAATGAGTTTCTTTTCGCTCTTTTGTTTAATGTTATCTGACAGCATACATCTTCCACCTTGAATACAGCGTGAAATAAATTCTCTTGGTTTATTTGAGAGGTCATATAAATTTCCATTCGGGAAGTACACTCTGTTCTCAAACAATTTGTTAGCAATAGAACAAATACTAACGTAGTCATAAACGTTTAAATCAAATTCTTTCAATATGTCATTGCGGAACTTAACAAAACCTTCTCTTAAAATTCTTACATCTTGTTTGCAATAAAATGTGCTATACTTTTCTAAGTCGAAGTGGTTCTCATCTATTCTGCAACCTTTGATGGAATCTATGTTTTTCATGAATGTATCTGCATCCCGGATAAACTTACATGCTTCAGAAATGACACCAGTTCTGTTGTCATTTGCTAACAAAGTACTGTTGTAGTAGTTATATGGAAATACTTCTTTCGGTCCTGTTTGTAAGTTAAACATAGCAGGAAATAGTTTAAGCTTCTTATTTATAACACTGTAAGAGTCTTTTATAATAATTGCCCTTCCTTTATATAAGCCAGTTATTTGCATTGTTCGTGAACCTTTAATGATGGGAGTTCCTTTCACTTCTGTCATGTGTCTTAAGATGAAGTTTATATCATAACTGAGGTTATGGAAATATATTAAACTCTTGTCAGGAAGTCGTTCCAAAAATTCTGTTGCACAGTTCTGACCCCAAATGCTTTCACTCACTGAACCATCTTCACTGTCATAACAGATGTTAAAAGCTTTATGAAAGCCGTCTGTGCTACACTCAAAGTCAGCAAAGAAAACGTGCTCAGGAATGAACTTGCACTTATTTTTATTTACTTCTTTTGACTCGGCTTTCTTCTTCAGTTGTACACAATACTTTGGAGCATATGTCAAATCTTTAAATGGTGCAAGGTTCTGTTTATATAAGTCAGTCGTATATGTGAAAAGTTCTCCATAAGAAATAGGTTCGAAATATTTGCACTCCCACAATGTTTTCATAACATCCCATAACGGTGTTGTTCTATCATTACGAACTACATATTTGTTCTCTCTCTTTGTATAAATCTTCATCTGTTTCTCAATGTTCATTCCACCACACTCCTTCAAGATTTCTCTGTAATTTCTGATGAAGTATGTTGTCATTGGTAACCTTTCATTTAGCATGTAGTGGTCTTCAACAAGAAGTAAGTCAATAGTTCGAGCAGTTTCACATTCTTTTGGTATGTAGTGAATTATTCTGTTATCTTTGGAGTTGTCGAAATAACCAATGGTAACATTAAATGCTATACCTGTTGCATCAGAAATTTCTTGTACTTTACTTTGAGGAAAGTCTCTAACACGAATGACTTCTCTCATGTGGTCAATAGTCTCTCCATCTACTCCAGCCTGAATGCAAGCATAAACGAAACAATTGTCTTCTGTCATAAGTGCTGCAGTTCTTTTGTTCAATTCATTGAAGATTTGGTAGCGCTCAAGATTTATAGGTAATGTGCAAAGATACTTCCAGAACTGACCGCTTCTCTTCTTATAAAACTTCTTTTCACCATTATCTTTCCAAAAGCTTTCTATAAGTGCTGGGTTTCCTGTTTGCTTAAGAGCTTCCAAAATGGCTTTCTGGTCATTTGTCAGTGTGCTTTCATCTCTATATGGTCTCTTTTTTGGTTTGCCTTTCTTTACATCTGACATCGTTAAGCCTTCATATTCTGTTAAATCATACATCTTTATTTCGGTAAGATTCTTTATGTTTGTCAAGAAGAAGTCATAGTGCATTTCAACAATACCTGCAGCATTTGCTTCTATCTCTGATATAAAGTTCTCCTTCAAGAGCTGATGTAGTAATGTTCCAATATTATTGAGGTTTAACGTAGAACATTCATACTTTCCACCAAGTTTATAACATACCATCCATCTTTGTTGGGAGTTTATTTTAATCTTCTCTAAGAGTCTCATGAAAACCTTACCGAAATGTTTGTGTAAGTAGTCTCTGTTTGGTTCATCTAAAGCTTCGATGTTAAAGTCAATGAGTCTATTGCCTGACTTCACATTTCTCTTCCTATTCTCTTCATCTTTCTTTAACCATCTCTCACCTTCTTTTGGTTTGTCGTCAATGGAACGAATGACATCGTTAGCTTTGCGAACTTGTTCTATAGCGCTCTTAAACATCTCTCTTCTCTGTTGTTTCAGTGTGTCGTCTCTTCTTCTTGTTTCACCAATGTTTGCATTTGTTATGTCAAACATTTCTCTTCTTACTTCATAAGGTACTGAACGTCTATGATATAAGTCAATAGCAACGTCATTTAAAGGAAATGCTCTTGCATGGACTTCGTCCTCGCCGCGTTGCGGCTTTATGAACTCATGAATTCTATCATAACTTATAGCACCATTGTAGTCATTGAGGATGTCAGCGAGTGCTTTTTTGTTTGTTGCGTAATGCTTTGCAACATCTATGTTAGCTTCTGTTAGAAGTTGTTTTATTTCCGAGTGTTCTAACTTAGACAACTTCCGATACATCTTTAGTAGGAAATAAAAAATTTTCTTAGAAAAAAATTAGCTTAGATTTTTTAAGGTTAGTTTTAAAATATTTCAAACTTTTTATTTTAATGAAACACATGCAAGATTGCAAGTTCTTTTCATACAATGCTCTCGCTACTGTCATCAAGAATGAGTTCAATAATGCTTCAAATGTTAATGTTATCTTTAACAAGAAGTTTGTGAAAGAATCTAAGTTTGGTCAGTATGTCAGACCATTAGCTATCGTCATTGACCGCAAACGTTATACTTCACAAGAGTTAGCAGTAGTTTTGAAACAAAAGAGTTTCTTCGTGAATGTCAAAGATACACACTATACTATCATAAAGAACTCTAACATTGACTTCTTCAGTATTGCTTTAAATCTTTCCAAACAGAAAGAATATAAGAAGGGTGAAACATCTGTGAAATATTATCCTTCATCTCTGAAGACAATAACGAACAAAGATGTTATACAGAAATTCTTACCAAAGGTTGAAGAAGCTTCTATTGACATTGACGAAGAAAGTGAAATGGTTGAAGAAATAGACCCTGAAGCTATTTAAGCAAAAATATATTTTTGAAGAACTGAAGGTGTCACCACGTCACCATGTGTCACCAGGTTATTTAACTTCTTTTAAAAATGATGACAACATGACATTTTGACAACAGTCCAGGAAATAAATTTTATCGTTAATGTTTACGTTAATGTTTTTCATTAAATTTTGACAAAGTGCAAATCTTCACTTCGTCAAAAAGTTAATGTTTTTCATTAAATTTTGACAAAGTGCAAATCTTCACTTCGTCAAAATTTAATGTTTTTCATTGAAATCGGTAAGTTTTCATTAAATTTTGACAAAGTGCAAATCTTCACTTCGTCAAAAAGTTAATGTTTTTCATTGAAATCGGTAAGTTTTCATTCTTCCTCTTTGAAGTTATCGAAATATTCTGTTATTTTTTCCTTCAGTAATGGTAAGTCTTCTTTGAATGTAAGTATTGTGCAACCTTTGATGTCATAGTGTGTTTGAGGAAGAGTATTTTTGACAATTTCCTTTATTTGCTCATTCGGTGTCATTGAAATCGGTAAGTTTTCACGATAGAACCAGTTTCTGTCAGATTTGTAAATCTTAGCAAGGTCATAAAAGCTTTTGTTGTTTTTTTACTGTGGAAGGACATCCATTACCTTCAGAAGTTACCATAGCATATAATTTTGAAACAAACTCAATAGATTTTAAAGTCGTCTCTGCAAAGAAGTCAGGATTTACATTTAATGAAGCAGATGTATATTCGAATGAAAACTTCAAAGCTATTGCATGGTTAGATAATGACGATTGCTTTAAGAAAATCTTTAAATTCAGTGACTCAACGATGTCAATAGATGACCTTCGTGGAATGTTACCATCGACGTTTACAGTAGAAGGTTCAGCAGGATTGCTTACAAGATTGTCAATTGGTGGCATTTGGTCTCGTGAGAACATTGTTATAAAATCCAGTATAAGTGAATTTGCTGAAGAATCTATATTATGTCTTTCAAACTATATGTATTCGCCGCCAAAGCATTATAGTATAACAAACTTTGTCAGTAAGTTTAACATAAGACTTGTCGAACCTTCTTCAATGAAAGATGTTGTGCTACCTAAAGATGGAAAGGATGGACTCATTATTGAGATGATTTTAATAGCATATTAAATGAGCTTGTTCTTGAAGGTCATTCATAATGAAATAACTGTTGTAGAAGATGTTAGCAATTGTTCAGACATTTTGAAGCGAATAGATGATATAAGAAATAAGTTAGATAGACCGCAAAGCGGTGAGGGCGAAGCCCGTGAGAACGCTTATGTTCGTTAGTATGGCTAAGTCGTGTACTGAGGCACTGCGCGCCTCCGTACACCACTTAACCTTAAATATTTACAAAACCGTTAACGTATATTTTACAACACAAACGACAACACTAACTTAACCTTAAATATTTACAAACCGCCAACCACTAACGACTTCATTAATGTAAAAATAAACGTTCTCACTTACAAAAGTATTGCAACTCCTCCCATTGCTGTGCTTCACATAACAGCTCATAATCTTCTGACTCACTTTCTTCTTCATATAGGTCAAAGTCACTGTCAAAATAAATGTTAGTAAGTTTTGACAAAGCTAATGAAACACGTTTACCGTTTGTATCGTATGCTTGTATAAACTTTCCATTCTTCATTCCTTCATAAACGCTCAAACTAACTTTACCCTTTCTCCCTCGTATCTGATAGAATGTATTTTCACGAGGAACGAAGAACAAATTCTTGAACTCATGACCGTTGTAGTTTGTTATCTCAATAGTTTTCGTCATTTATATAAAAATAAACTTAAAAAATAATGATATCACCACCCTCACACGTATGAAAACATAGCGCAAAAATAAATTTAGGGTAGAAGGGTAGATCTAACCTCATTTCTACCCTCATTTCTAACCTGTTGAATTCATTGCTTTATAACTCTCTTCCTTGGTTTCTTTTTAGTTGCTTTCTTCACGTCTGTCTCCAACTTGACTGTCTTTCTTCTTCGGCCGTAATGATACCAGTTACTTCCACCAGTCAATGGGTCAAATGGTCTTTCGTAAGGGTTTCCATACATTCCATAGGGACCATACGGAAGAACTACTGGTGGAGAAGAAACATTTTCTTTAGTTCCATCGAATCTATTTAAATGCATTGTTTCACCTTTCATCTGGTCATTAAAGTCTTTTGCATGTTTTGCAAACTCATCATCCTTTCCTAAAGCATTTTCTGACTCAGTCGCAACCAAATTGGATGCTTTATTTATGAGCCCTATTTTAT